GTGTTTTCTAAATAATGAATTTATTTTAAATCTGACTTTTTTTATTGCTTCAAACGTTATTATTTAGTGTATACTCCTACTGGAAACAGACACTTGAATCTTTGTTTTAATTTAAACAGTGTACATTACCTCTGTCAACCTGAGTAATCTAGAAATCTTCATAAAGAGAATGTAACCAACGGCATGGATCGAAACTGCACACGCCTCCTTTGAAAGAGAATACATATTCTTTATTATAATTACTGGAATGGCCCGACCAATAGACGTAATACACACTATTTAAAGTAAAAAGTAAAGACCGGACGTCTATTTCAAACTCGAATATCCACTTTATCAACGTTCCTATCGCGACGCCTTATTTGTAAAAGACTGAACGGTCGAAGACGAAATACTTGAATATACACAGTTTCGCTGCACTCGACGATATAGAATTAGAATTATCGTCATATAGCGGCCATCATCCCAGGAAATGGCAAGCCTAATTCCAATATCGGTTGAACATAATTGTGTTCACTTAGCAGTAATGCCCTTAAGTGGAAATCCATAAATATACATATTTCCGGGCTTTTTCCCAATCGACGAATAGCTTGACAAAATGTTCTGTCATTGATGGTTGACCGAGAATTGAGTGAAAGTTTGGGAAAAATCATCATACATACATACATACACGCACGCACGCACGCACGCACGCACGCACGCACACACACACACATATATATATATATATATATATATATATATATATATATATATATATATATATATATAAATGCATGTGTGTCTTTATAGGTAGAGTAACGTCTATAATTACAACCTCTCTGAAGATTTCTAATTCAAATTGAAGACTAAGGTAGAATCACTTTGAATTATGCAAAAACAATAAAAGCTATATTAAGAGGGATATGTGTATTGTTTGAACTCAAGTTATGTTCCAATAAATGCTTTCGCAGTGTGTCCCAGAAAATGTATACAAAATTTAAATGCCTATTAATATAATTTCCATTAAGATACTTCAACGTTTTATGATTCAAATTGAAGAAGGCGTATATAGAATCATTTTCAGGTAAGAAAAGCTATATTAAATGAGACACCAAATATAGTATGAAACTCAAGATACATTGCAACAGAAATATGTACAGAGTGTCCTAAAAAATCTCGACACGTTATTGTCGTTCATTAATAAAATATTAATATATCTTTTATTATTGTAGTAAGTTTATGCCAAATAAAGGCCGGAAGCAGAGACGATTGGCTGTAGCGGTTATACGTAGTAGCAGTAGCTGACAGCCAACTTTGAAAATGCATATTATTTTTTTTTAAGAAACTCTCACTTCTGTATTCCGTCAACTTTACTAAGGGATACAGATCCTAACGCGGAACAACTCCTCTCCATCCGCTCAGCAAATAGATTTTTCTTGTTAAAAAATGTAGACATTTGTATGTTATTAACGAAAGGTGTACCATTTCTGAACAAGATTTCAACAATTTTTATTCTATTTTTTGGACTAAATATTTAATAAAATTTCAACTTGTCGTGTATTTGATTTTGTTCTTATATCATTTGTTGTAAACAGCTATGAAGGTATAGACACCTCCACGGGAGATATCCATATCATTTTAATATTTATATTAAAGAAGTCAATCCCATATTGAAGATGATCATTTTGACGGTACAACTACCTTTAAGGTAGATGCCCATATCATTTCATTATTCATATTAAAGAAAATGGCATATTAAAGATGATTATTTCGAGGGGATAGACACCTCCACGGGAGATATCTATATCATTTTATTATTCATATTAAAGAGGAATATGTCATGATTAATATGATCATTTTGACGGTAGACATACCTCATTCATATCAATTCATTATGGATATATAAAGGAGACGAGGGAATATTCATGATGACCATTTTAAAAGTAAACCACTTCGATTTATTCGTAATAAAGACAAAGGAAATGGTAAGATTTTTTTTTATTGCAAATATTTGAACTGATGATCGTTCTGGTTTCGGAATTGCAGCTCGCACTGAAAAACTCGATCTGCAAATATCACAAATCATTTTATTTGGCATTTGAGCTCATTGACTTTTAAATGTTTGCTTTTAATTTATCGTTTGTTTTTCAGAATATCGCTCGCTTCCCATCTCCTTCGTCTTGGCTTCGGTTCACAGCCCCTACCGAAGAAGCGCTTTTTCTAGATCCGATCAGTAAGTATGACTTTACTTTGTTTAAAGATTGTAGAAATTTGTAATCGGACACAGTTGTTAACGAAAGGCGTACATTTCCATCAGTCAAACTCTATATCTACTATATTTTTGTTATTATTTTCTAGCCTGTCATGAATTTACTTTCATTCTGTATTGCTTTCCTGAAAGTGTGTTTTGACAGTATAGTATTTATTCCATTACATTATTCATATTGAAGAAGAGAAATCAGTTTGCGGTATTGCAAGTTGGAGTGATGAGTGTTCATTTTATTTTGTTTTGTTTTGTTTTACAGCATATCTACCTCAATGGGTTATTTAATGCCGACAAGAATTTTTTTTCAAAAAAGTATTGCTGGTATTTTTTTTTTTTTTAAATATATAGGTGGTATTTTTCCAAAATGTATTGCTGATAATAATTTATTACTGGTAATAATTTATTGATGTTAATAATTTTTCTTCAAAAATTTATTGCTGGTAATATTTTTTTACAAAGTATTTCCGGTATTAAAACCTATTTTTACTCTTACATAGTGTTATTGGGGGTTACCTCTTTATCCATGCTAGGGACCCTAACAGGTGCTACAAGCCAGGGTCAGGGTGAGAACACCAGAAATTAAGAGGTGGTTCCACGCTCCCCAAAACCTACTGATCAGAGGCCTTGCTGTTAGACTTATTTTTTTTTACCCAGGACGCAGATATAGTTTATCGTCTTACCCTGGACGCGGATGTAGTTTATCGTCTTACCCAGGACGCGGATGTAGTTTATCTTCATACCCTGGGCGCGGATGTAGTTTATCGTCTTACCCTGGACACGGATGTAGTTTATCGACATACCCAGGACGCGGATGTAGTTTATCGTCATACCCAGGACGCGGATGTAGTTTATCGTCTTACCCTGGACACGGATGTAGTTTATCGTCTTACCCTGGACACGGATGTAGTTTATCGTCATACCCTGGACGCGGATGTAGTTTATCGTCATACCCAGGACGGTCCCGTTAATCAATGATTAACTACGTTTAAACCAACTGTCTACGTCTGTTTTGAAAACAATATTATGAATAATCGAGAGTAGTCTCCCCTTGTTTTGTTAATCTCCTCTTTGAGAGAGCTATCTATTTACTGAGAACATAAGAAAACACAACGCGAATCTTGTATTCGTTGTTGAAGAAAGCTCTCTTAAAGCCTACACCTGCATACCAAGTACGCTGAGAGTTCTGGTCCAAACATACCGACCTCGTTGACCACTGGTATTGAAATAATTACAAATCGCTATATTTGGTATATAGACGTTTGTTAGTTCAGTGGATGCAGTCATGTTGTTGGGATTCGTCTACCCAAGCTTTTTTTTTTTTTGCTATCTGAGTGTTGAGATTCCAAAGATTTAGCAACAATAAATCTGAAAAATGGAAAAACTTATTTGCTAAAGGAAAATGAAAAGCAGAACGTCAGTTGAAATAACATTTATATATTATTTTTAAAAATATATAATGACAATAAAGTTTTCAATTTATCTTGCATTGAATATTGTTTCATAAAATAATTAAGTGTTCTTAGTGTAATATGAAATGTGTGGACAGACTTTATGACAGTTTGCCTAATGTGTTTGTGATTTCATAGATAAAAGGCTTGATCGGCATTTCTTGGTTAATCCTTTCAATTGTTTCCGTGGACAAGGCTTTGGTCGCCGGCTGCTGCTGTGGTCTCTTTCAGTGTATGAGCGTGTTTGTGTGTGTAGATATGTGTAGATCAAACTGCCCTCACGAAATTGAACCTCGAGAAGCAGCAGGCTTCTATATTTTTAGATCCACAAGGGGAACCAAAATCTGATTTCACATAGGAATATTTCCTTCTTTGAATACAAGGTTTTCAATGGTTAGAAAATAATTTCCCAATTGTTCACGAAAATCTTTTTCGCGAATTTGTGGAAGTGGTGAAAAGTGTTTTTGTTATTTTTTAAATGGTCCAAAAATATCACGTGGTAGATCTGCAAGTACATTCGCAAGTATTTTGGTGGTATTTGCACTTGTAACGATTGTTTATAAAACAAAACGTTCTAATGGGATTTTGTCGGTAGAAAAAAAAATATATATATAAGATTTATTTCGTATAATTTAATCGATTGTGGTTCATGACATCTTATCTTTAACGTGATTCTCCAAAAATATGTATTTTAATGTCTGGTTTAAATAAATCTTCTAATAATAACTACGCTTCGTTCCAGATATTTCAATGCTATTAGGAAGGCCGCAGAGCAGCCTGATCGCAGCATTAATCTAAACACGTATTATGTTAATAGTTTTAATGTCATAGTTTAATGACAAAGTCGTATTTCAGCCATTTAGATAATACTGAGAAGACTGGGTGAATTTATAAACAATTTAGTTTCAATGGCCAGACAATCACTCGTCTTCACTAAATATCCGCCCCCAGAACGCGATGACTGTTGTTTGATCGACTGCTTTCGGCTAACGAAATTCACCTGCTTATTCGAAATGTTTCGGCGAAAAGTCAACATAAAATCGACGCAGCCTCGTTTTCAAGTATAATCAATCCTAATGAGTCTGGAGTGAAGGAAGTCTACCAACCTACATCCGAACCTCAGGTGGTTAGAATAACAAAATAGTCTGGATTATCATTATTACTGAATAGTGGGTTTGATACTCACTGAGTGCTCTATATCGGCGACCTTCTGACATCTAAGCCTAATCGACATTGAGGAATATTTAATGGTGTAGTTTGGTTGGCTATGTGTACTGAATAGTGAGTTTGGGCTTAGCGCCATGTTACGTTGAAGCAGCGGTTCCCGTACGATCACGGAAGTTAAGCAACGTTGAGCCTAGTCACTAACTAGATAGGTGACCGCTTGATAATACCAAGTGCTGTAAGCCTGGATGTGCGGATGGTGTAAATGATACCGGTTCGGTATTGTTAATCGGAGAACCGAGTTCCAATTCCAATCGGGTTCATTATATTCACTTACGCGCAAAGACCATCTTCTCTCCCCATGTAAGAGTTGTATCACTAAGCTATTAGTATCCCCCACCCCACCAATTTTACCATCAAAAATATTTTCTGGTTTTAAATAACCAGCAAAACAGTTGATAAGCCGTAAAAAACGACTCCCTCGGTCAATCACGTTGCCTAAAACAAAATCTCTATCTATAAAAGGCAGTGTGTGTGTGTGTGTGTGTGTGTGTGTGTGTGTAACGAATGCATGGCCGCAATTTTCGACGGATTTGCACCAAAATTTACATGCACATGCTCCAAGTTAGTGAGAAGGTCAAGACCGACTTTGCATTTCCCAACTCCCATCGATAGTGGAAATAATCGATTTTTTCATGTTTCTACGACAGTTTTCATGTAGTTTGCGGCAATTTTTTACTGACCACAGTGAGAGCCTATAGCTGGCTGCCACGAATAGGCAGGAAGATTCTACTGGCCAGCGTGATAGTCAACAGCTGACTGACACGAATGTTAACTAGCATGCTAGCATGCAAAAAAATTGATAGCTGCATTCGTCACAAGTGGGAAAAATTTAAATCTGCATGGCACTTTACTCCATTTGGCTCATTCGCTTGCTTAAACTCAACGTTGATTCCGATTCCACAAAACTGGGTTGGGTGTGAAAAAGTATTTGTTGTTAACATTCTTTTTTCATTCGGTTTTTCCAGTTACAAGTCCTTTTTTTAAAGCTGATCGTTTTGTGTTCATTTTGTTTAGTTCTTTTTTCGTAACAGATTTAATGTTTAGTATAGAGCTTAGAAAAAATTCGCAGTGTGAGATAGGCAAGAATTAAGGCATGTAGCAACATCAGCACGGCAAAGGGCAATCCTTTAAAGGCAAGGAAGGGCAAAAATATTTTAAGTCAAGTGATAGCGATTGCTGTATGAGTCGTACGATTTTTGAATCAAGCACGGGCAACGCCGGACAATGCTGCTAGTAGTTAATAGTCTGAATAAGATATAGTTTAATGACAAAGTCCAATTTCAGTCAGTTAATGCTGAATAGGCGGAGTGGAGTTGTACGCAATTTACAGTTTCAATGTCCATACAACCACACGTCCTCTCTAAATGTCTGCGCCCAGAACGCGATGGCTCTTGTTTGATCAACTGCTTTCGGCTGACACATTTCACTTGTCTATTCTAAATGTTTTGGCGAAAAGTTAACATCAAGTCGACGCAGCCTCATTTTCAAGTATAGTCAATACTAATGAGTCTGAAGTGAAGGTAGTCTACCAAATCCATATCCGAAAGTCAGGTGCTTAGACTAGCGTGCAAAGACTATCTTCTAAGCTGAGAGCTGTATCAGTAAGGTATTATTATCTCCACTAACCAATTTTTACCATCAAAAATATTTTCTGGCTTTAAATAACCAACAAAAGAATTGATAAGCCGTAGAAAACGAGTTCCACGATCAATCACGTTGCCTAATACCAAAGATATACATGTCACGTGATTTCTCCATATTTAATAAAATAATTCCTTTTGTGATATCGTAATCTTTGGTGGTTACTCGATAGTAATACACCATCATGGGGGAAGTATATCAGGCAGGTATTGTTGTTTTTGTCGGAACCCACTTGTATCCGATCATCGGGATCTTCATTCACTCTCCCTTTTTCTTCGACTGACAGAGATATCTGTGAATCAAAGGGAGTTGATTTTATTTTATTGGACAACTCTGCGCGACGGAGAATCTCCCACAGTTGGTCAGAAGCACATCACTCAAGATCTAACAAAGCCTGTCTGGATGGTATATGCAGAAGGTATTTCTACCGGTGCTAGGATCATTCGCCGTAAACATTTGTGCCGTAGGAGAACTCACCTGAGGAACTTTCGCCGTAGTAAACTTTGCCGTATAGGATATTTGCCGTAAGACAATTTTGCTGCATTTTCATATTAAATATGAGAAGTACCTTGTTATCAAGTCTATCTGGCTCACAATATTGTTACTTTGATTTAAACATTTTAATAAGCGAAGTTATTAGATCAAAATCCTACATGATTCATCATCGTCAGTGAGGAGAGCAAAAATTTCAACATGGTACCATAATCTACGTCACGCAATTTCATATTTTCGATTTAACGTTAAAATTTCTGTTAACATAATATCAACCGGTCAATAATTCTCATTCAAGCAATATACATTATTTCAAACAGACTTAAAACTTGAATACGCAACCAGCTTCAATATAAAATATCTGATCAAAGAAAGATAACCTTTTCAAACTCTTAGTAAGTCTTTTGAAATTTACACAAATTATTTGCAAACATAAACAGATTTAATTTCACTATGCATACCTAATTATTGAAATATAAGAAAAAAATTAAGCAAATTGTTTTACGCCAAAAATCTTATACGGCAAAGTTTCCTACGGCGAAAATTTTTGAGAAGAGTTTTCCTACGGCATAAATGTTTACGGCGAATGTTCCGTATACGATTTCTGTCACACTCTGTTATATGCAAATAATAATAATAATAATAATAATAATAATAATAATAATAATAAGACTGATTATTAATTTCAATTTTATTTTTACTTTATAAATTTAAAGAGTTCTTTTATTTTGACTAACGTAGCTTTATAAATTAACAATGAATTTACGTACTTTTTCCCCCTATTAACTTTTATAATATTTCATGTTTGTTTTTTGGCATGCGGCTATTTCTGATATGGAATGTTTAATCTCTAGTAATATGAGAAAGAAAAACATGAAGCAAAAAGATTATAATTCTTGTCGAACTATCTGCTGTATAACTCCACCTCAAACCAGAGAGCATACCGGCTGGAAAAAAATGATTTAGGCACGCGACATAAGTGTAATTGTTGCATAGACTCATGACAGTTGTTTATTTTGCAAATGTCGGCTGCAATCTCGAGGAATCTAAGCATGAAACAAGAAAAACAACTTTTGGCCGTTCTTGGAATGATCAAAGATAGAAATCAGATCAGACGAAGATGAGAAATTTGCTGTACATAATCGTAGATGAAAAAACTGCTCTTGAGACAATAAAGTAATAGATACTGGTTTTGATAATAGATCGTAAAAAGTGGAGTTAAGACAGAATGGCGAATTATTCAGCTACTCATTTCGATTCTTAGGGTAGGCGTTCACAGACTGGACTGAGTGACAAACATGGATCCGTCAAAAGGGAGTTGTAATATGGGCAAGAAGTAATAAAGGTCTTTATCAAACAGTGCGACCAGAGAGTTGGTGTCTCTTATATTGAAAACACTAAAGTTAGCTGGATTAGCAATTTATCTCTCTTTGAACTGATATCTATTATCTTATTATAAGCACAACACTGAATACTGTCTTATAGAGAAAGAAAGGCAAAGATTCTCCCGGAGAGGAGGAAATGTCAAGTATATACATTTCAGTATAGATACCTCGCTAGATATCCATATCATCTCATTATTCATATTAAAAAGAAAATGTGATATTAAAAATCATCGTTTTCAGGGTATAGATACCTCCTTGGTAGATATCCATATCATTTCATTATTCATATTAAAAAGACAATACCATATTAAAGACATTTTGACAGTAGGGATACCTCCTTGCTAAATATCCATATCAGTTCATTATTCATATTAAAGACAATGTCATAATAAAGATGATTATTTTCACAGTAGAGATACCTGCTCGCTAGATTTCCATATCATTTCATTATTCATATTAAAGACAATGTCATATTAAAGATGATTATTTTCACAGTAGAGATATCTCCTCGCTAGATTTCCATATCATTTCATTATTCATATTAAAAAGACAATACCATATTAAAGACTATCATTTTGACAGTAGGGATACCTGCTCGCTAGATATCCATCTCATTTCATTATTCATATTAAAGACAATGTCATATCAAAGATGATTATTTTCACAGTAGAGATATCTCCTCGCTAGATTTCCATATCATTTCATTATTCATATTAAAAAGACAATACCATATTAAAGACTATCATTTTGACAGTAGGGATACCTGCTCGCTAGATATCCATCTCATTTCATTATTCATATTAAAGACAATGTCATATCAAAGATGATTATTTTCACAGTAGAGATATCTCCTCGCTAGATTTCCATATCATTTCATTATTCATATTAAAAAGACAATACCATATTAAAGACTATCATTTTGACAGTAGGGATACCTGCTCGCTAGATATCCATATCATTTCATTATTCATATTAAAGACAATGGCATATTAAAGGTGATTATTTTGAGGGTATAGATACCTCCTAGGTATATATCTATACCATCTCATTATTCCTATTATAAAGACAAAGAAAACATGAAAAATATTAACTCTATGGCCAAAATGTTTGGTAAGGATCATTATTATCACTTCCGCATATTCCAACACTTTTCTCAAAGACAGTTTGGTCTCCCATTCTTGCCTATTGACGCTTACTCGTAAAGCGTAATACTTAGGCGAATAGTTTTGCATTTAGTCTTATTGTCTTGACTTTTATTCAGATATTATTCTAAGTCATGTTTTCATTCAGAGTAACACGGCATGCTGCAGACTCGATTTAAAATTTCATTTGTTCTACTAATATAAGCACTTTCACGTTAATGGTTTGGTTTGGTATGGTTTGGTTTGGTTTGGTTTACGGCATATAAACCTCAGTGGGTTATTTAATGCCGACATGACGTTTATTGCTGGTAATATTTTCTTTTTTTTGCAAAAATCTATTTCTGGTAATATTTTTTTCAAAAATGTATTGCTGGTAATAATGTATTGCTGGTAATAATTTTTTCTCCAAAAATTTATTGCTTTATTTACAAAGTATTTCCGGTATGGGTGTTAACTTTTTGCCCATAGATGGGACACTAACAGGTGCTACCAGCCAGGATCAAGGCGGACCACGCTCCTCA